GGGCATCAATTGGACAAGCAGAATCACTTTCTAATCCCACTCCTCTTTTTATTGAATGGCTTTTGGAGTCGGTGCCTACATTTCACCACAGACATTCTGGGGAAAAAGGGAAATTCCTTTACCTGTTTAACCCAAGGGTGGATGTTCTTCTTTAACCTCAGTTCCCTTGTCTGGGCCTCCGTCAGCCCGAAGCATTTTGAAATCTGCTTATCTGAGAACCCGATCTCCTTTGCCTTTTTGAGGGTTTCTTCTGTAATGGACTCACTAGAATTTAACAAAAAAAACAGATTCAAGTTTAGACCAAACCATAAAGAGCAGTAGCGTGTTCAATCTCAAAATGACCAAAGGCTCCTTATTTTCCACCTTCGAAAATGTTTAGGTTCCCTTGTCTTTTAAAAATACACAAATAAATAACCTACTACATCCTCTATCCTCTATGAAGTCTTCTACATTTGCAAAGCTGACCTTCTCTGTGATCTGCTTTTACAGCCTAAGCACCCTATTCCCTGCCTATTTCTTTAAAAAATGGTATTTGCATTTACTGTTGTAATAAATGTGCTTGTTCAGTAATAATCAGGGACCTCCTTCTCTAAATTCAGGAGCCCTTTCTCAATATTCATTTTCTTCAACCTGTCATCATATGACCCTTTTGATGTTCCATTCTTTAAAATTATCTCCTCTGGCTTCTGTTAAGTTGCTTCTCACCCCGCTTTATTACTCACAACCTTTTACTGTTTTTTTCCCCCAAGGCTCTACCCTCTGTTATCTCCTTTAGTCTGGCTACCTTCTCTCCTTCTAGATCTAAATTTAGCCACTGTCATGTTCTCCAGAAGCAAGGCTGGTTGATAACTTCCAAATCCATGTTCTCTTCTCCAATGCTGTGCTCCAGGTCTTTCTGCACATGCTCTTTGAGAATCATCTTCACCTGGGTGTCCCAACATGCATCAGGATATGGATATCCTCTCCATAAACTGCCTCTATGAACTAATATCACACACCTGTCCCTGTTGGGAAGATTGTCTTTTGGTTTTATAATTATTTTTCACCCAAGCTAGACTTGTCTCATTTTCCCCATGCTCATGTCCATAGTGTAGACTTTATTCTTATTGTTTCTCTCACCTGTAAACCTTTGGCATTCCTTTTACCTGTCCAATTTCTATTAAAGGTCCCCCCCCAAAAAATAACTCTTCAAAATTCACCTAAAGCCCAGCCTCTCAGTTTGCTCTCATCTGCACTGATCTCGCCATGCTTTAAACTGCCTCTTTTATTTGGAGCCATGGACAATACAATTTAGCATATCATCATCACTTAATATCTCTAATGTCTCTTAACTTTTATTCACCAATCAGACTTTTTCCTGCTACATTTAAGTCCCATGAGGGCAAAGAATACATTTGGTTCATTTACCAGATTATTCCTAAAGCCTAGCACATTATCTGGCTCATAGATAGCAT